GAGCAATATGGCAGTGCCAATGGAGATCTTAACGTGTGTCATGCAGAAGCATGACAGGTCCTTGCCTGCCTTGTAAAGAAAACAGGAGGGGTTATGTGGCACTGCCTGTGAACCCAGGAGTGATCCAGGGATGCCTCTTGGGATTTGTAGCAGTCATGCTGGTGTCCTGGGTTTGCCAAGGGCCATTGTGCACAACTGCCTTTGCTGGCCAAAGCACTTGGTGTTGTGTGCAGACAGCACCTGGGTCATCACAGCATCCCTCTCACCAGGGATTGGCCTTGCTGACATGCTGCTGGACGTTGTAGTAGGCTGTGTGCCCACTGAGCACTGGGAAGGCTAAATGTCCTGTAGGCACAGGGACATGCCCAGGTGAGGCCAAGTACACCCTGGGAGTACCCTCAGCAGTAACCAAAGAGCCTGCTCTGCCTGTGCTTACATGGTGCTTCTTCATGTCATCTGAAATCTTTAGAGACTCTTCATATTTAGGTGCTAGAACAAACACAGTTATAAAAACTGCCAAGAAAACCCCAAAACAAGGAAGTGGAGGGAGTGAAAACTGCAGAATATGAACTAGAGTCTTGTAGCTGTAGAAAGCTGAAGGGGGAGGAGAAATGGCAAGAAAGAGAAACCAATGAGCAGTGAAATTACAAAAAATTAAACACCATTTTGAATACATCAGAAGCTAAAAGAGTTCTAGAAGCATGATTATCTGCTGAGGTCTGGAAGTGGAGAAATGTCATATGTTTTTTTCCTGGAAGAAAAGCTAAAAGGTGGTACCAGTTACAGGAGCAGTATAATGCTCTGTGTTGTAGCAGTAGCTTGGGAAATTAGCAAATAGCAACTACTACAGCAATACATTTTAAAGTTTACTATTCTGGTTTACTCGTGTCCAGGGATTTTAAAAGGCCTGGCTGAGCAGTGCTCTCTGAGCCACAAATGCTAATTTAAAAATAATTAAAAAAAAAATAAAAGCATGTATAATGAGTTAGACTTAAAAAAATGTTGTCTGTTACTCATAAGTGAGTAGGCCAATGTCAAGTTTAACTGGGCAAATTAAACTAGGCTACCCACAGTCTGATGTTTGCTTCCAGTAAATGACATAACAGCTGATATGGATCAGAATGGTCATGATTTAAGGGGTATTAATTGTAATAGTCAGTCTGTATAGTTTTTTTTAAATCATTATTTTCTAATGTAATATGATTTTCTGGTGTTGCTATAATTTTACTAAAGGCAAAGCTGTTGGTAAGTCTGGCATGTTTAATGCACTGAAATTGTGCAACAAGTCATGGGAATAAATAGGTGGGATGATTCATTGTGTCACACACACAGTGTTGGAGTGAGTCCAGAGGAGGGAGGGCCGTGAAGATGATCAGAGGGCTAGAGCACCTCTCCTGCGAAGACAGGCTGAGAGATTTGGGATTGTTCATCCTGGAGAAGAGAAGGCTCCAGGGAGACCTCATTACTGACTTTCAGTACCTGAAGGGAGCTTTTAAGAAAGCTGATGACAGATTTTCAGCTGGGCCTGTGGCAGTAGGACAAGGGGGAGTGGCTTTAAACTGAAAGAGGGTAGATTTAGATTAGATATCAAAAAAAAATTATGTACTGTGAGTGAATATGGCGCTGGAACACAGAAAAGCTGTGACTGCCCCATCCCTGGAAATGTTCAAGGCTGAATTGGATGGTGCTTTGAGCAGCTGGGTCGGGTGGAAGCTGTCTCTGCAGTGGGATTGGAACTAGATGATCTTTAAGGTCCCTTTCATCCCAAGCCATTCTGTGATTCCATACGTAAAAGGAAACCTGACTAAAGGGCTGCAGTGTGACAACAAAAGGAGCCCCATTGCTGGTAGTGTAGTAGTCTCAGCTGGGAATTTTTGGGTTTTTGGCTCAGTGCTAATCAAGAGGCTAATCACGAGGCAGAGTTGTCACTCTCCCTATTGACAAGTGATAGGATGAGAGAAAATGCCTTCAGGTTGCACCAGAGTAAGTTTAGATTGGAAATTACAAAAGAGTTATCAAGCATTAAAACAAATTGCCCAGGGGAGTAGCTGAGTCCTCAACTCTGGGAGTTACTTAAAAGACATGTAGCTATGGCACTTAGGGATATGGTTTAGTGATGGACTTGGCAGTGCTAAGTTTATGGTTGGGCTTTATGATTTTAAAGGTCGTTTTCAGCCTAAATGATTCTATGATTTAGTGGTGGACTCGGCAGAGCTAGATTTATGTTGGACGCAATGATCTTAAAGGCCATTTGCAGCCTAAATGATTCTCTTGATTCTCATTCTAAGGTTGTTGGTGTCCTGGGGAAAAAAAACAAGGTTAATTTGGATTGTGTTTGTGGGCAACATAAAATCTGGGCAAGTTGCAAATAATGAAAAGAGGTGAGTTAGTGGTGAACTTGAGGTGGCGTGTGTGCTGGGTGGGACAATGAGGAGTTGTGTGACACTCTTAAAGCAGTTGCCTGCTCTCAGAGCAGGTGGGAGGGCTGGCAGGATGCATGGTGGCCTGGAAGCTGCTGCAGGAGCAAGGGCTCTTAGAGCAGCACAGTGGTTCACTGGAAACAGAGCCCCAGCTGAAAACAGAACCCCAGCTGGGCACAGTGACCAGAAAGTGAATGCAGCACTTGGACACAAACACGGCAATCCTGAGCAGGGGCAGGGAGGGCGTTATCTCGGTGCAAGGTGCTGCTCCTGCCAGTGTGCTGCACAGGAATGTTGCTGATAAGTAGGAGGGAGTTCAGGGAGGACCAGGAGAGGGGCAGGCTGCATAATGTGCTATACAGTAAAACACAGCTTCATGTGTGAAGTAAACACAGTGTTTCTTTCTTCTTTTTTCCCCCTTTATTTGGAGCTATGCAGTAGTTTAACCAGAGCTGAAGGAAGCACAGTGACCTTCCTGGCAGAAGGTCAGACTTTGTCATCACAGGGTTTCTCTCACTCTATAAGACTCCATGGGGCAAGAGTGGGAAAGGAGAAGTCGTTTTATGTTCAGAAACAAATGTATGCATCTCTTCCTACTGAATGATTGGGGGATATGGGTGTTTCAACTCCAGGTGTCCTCTCTGCCAGGCTTCCAACACAGGTGGTTGTTCTGACTGCGAGCATCTGCCCCACAGCCAGCATTCACCTTTCCTGTGACAGTGCAGGTCCCGCAGCTAACCAACTCTGGGGCAGTCCCTATCTCTTCTTGTCTTTTAACATTTTCCAGCTCCCCAAGCTTTCTCCCTCTTCAGCTGCTTTACTGCAGACTTTGCAGAACAGACTTTTTCTTCTCTGAGGAGGCCAGGTAGGCCCTGATTGCAGCCCTGGCTGGTGAATGGGTACAGGACTGCAGAGCTTTCCTCTTGCTCCAGAGAGCTCAGACAAGGGACTCAGCCTGCCAAAATAATGAGCCTGTCTTTGGCGTTACTATTGCTTTCCTTCTGAATGGCTGTGGCAATTCTGAAAGAAAATGTGTCTTGTTTTGGACGTCCTGTAAAGGCTTAAAAGTGCATCTGTTTGCATGTGTCTAGTTGTTCTTATGCTGGGGTTTTGCTTTCAGACCACTGTATGAGTATTAAGTATCACTCCTTGATAAAGGCTTGATAAACTTCTTTCAGGCTGCACATTGGCATGTGAGAAGTTTGATTGGAAAAACGAATCATTTGTCCCCTGGCACAAAGCAGAGCCAGAGAGATTGGGAATGGCATTCCTTCTTGTGGTAAATAGGGCAGAAATGCAGACCAGACTTCCATGGTGTTCAGGCCCATACAAGCATGTGTGGAATAAGAAAATTCCTGTCTTCAGGGGTTTGTGAACTTGAATTTAGAAATGCCCTGAGCCAAGTCATGATGGGAATAGGCTCTTCCACCAGTTTCCCTGACAGAAGTGGTCTGATGAGCTGTGGAGATCCCTCTGTCAGCACTGCAAGTGTGCAGCGTAACAGAGCATGTCATCTGGCAGAGGACATGGGAGGGGCCATCACAGGGGATTTGGGGGGAGCAGCTGTGAAATCTGCCTGATCTGGTGTGGTACCTGAGAGCAGACAGTTTGTGTGCCTTAGAGGAAGTCTTAAGATAAATGCAAATGAAGAGATGAGCAGCACTCTAATTTATTCCTTTTCTCAAGCTGAGATGCTCTTATGCTTTGTGACCCTTCCAAAAATCTAAATTAAATCCATTCCAAATTATTATCACTTGACCTACCTATATTTTCTCTTCAGCACCATCCCATGATGAGAGGGGAAGCTCCATTGTTTTGGAGCTTGCTGTCCTTAAGCATCATTAAGTGATTGATGATTCTCTGAAGTGCCTTCTGGCTCTTGCGTTGAGCAGAGTGAGAGGCATGTTCACTACGGCAGCCTTGCGTGCCAGAAGGGTGGTGGTGGCTCAGCTCTGGCTGCTGTAAAGGAACATCACAAGCATGATTTGTGTAATCTTGGTGGAGTCCCAAAGGGTGCTGTAGGCACTTACCTGTTCCTGAGGGGTGTCCAGAGCACATAGAAAGCTCTATCTGCAGGGGTGTAGTACACTGTATTCTGTTCTCAGATGGAGACTGGCATATGTAAGGTTTGTAGGCAGATCCTGGTTCAATACTCCAATCTGCATTATCTTTCGTGTCCTTCTGCCCCCAAAGACTTGCTCTGAGGTGGTGGTGCTCCATGCTCCCGTAACATACCACACCCATCATTCTTAAATTCCATGTGCAGTTGGAAATCCCATGTGTTTTTTTAATGGGCTCTGTGAAGCATACTTCAGATTCTCCATGCTTCAGGTTGCTCTGTGATGTCTCACACTCCTCACCTGACCTGCAGCTGAACTGCTCTTCCCTCCCCAGTGCAGGAAGAGGTTTCCATGTGCACGTGTGGGTGCTCTGGTGTGTGATGGCAACTCTTGGTGCCGGGAGGGAGCCTGATCTGCTGGCTGCATCCTGGCCTGGGGAGAAGGCTGTGGTTCCTGGGGGACCAAGGTTGTAATTTCTCAGCTACTCATATTTCTACTCCCTTCCTTCATTCTTTTTTAGAACATGAGTGAGAACTTGAAGGACTGTTTGATCCAGACCCAGGCTTCCTTAGGGGAGATGGTGACCATAAAAACAGAGGCCTGCTCTCCACACCGGGACCAGGAGTATGGACAGCCTTGGTATGTGGCTGAGCTTTAGTCTGATGTACTCTAACCCCTTATCTCCACCTACCTCTCAGCTTAAAGGTGGTATTGGGGAATATACTTGAGCTGCTTGAAGTTATTAAAGCTCTTCCTTGTGAGGTCTGCCTTGGGGTGTTTGACAGGGGTGGTTACCTGCTCATGTGCACCTACTGTAGCTGAAGCTATTTTCTGCTGTGGGCTTTAGCCTTAAGGATCTGATGCACCAGCTTTTGGCAGGTTGGGTGGCAAGTTTAATTATTTCTCTACTACAGTTGTGGGACTGAAGGAGTTGGTCAGGCCCCATTGCTTCAGCTTCTCTCTGTGTGCAGTCCCAGCATCTTGCTAGGTTAACATCATCCTTGTGTTGTTCCCTCCTCAGCTCTGGAAGGCCTGACCCGCAGTCCATGGAGATGGAACCCAAGAAACTGAAAGGAAAACGGGATGTAATCATGACCAAGAGCTTTCAGCAAGTGGATTTCTGGTGTAAGTGTCTTGTGAGTGAGGGAAAAGCATCACTGCTGCTTGTGTAGACTTTGGTCTTCCCTGTCATTAGGGGCAGGGAGCAGGGAAAAAAAAAGCCAAGGGTAAATTTGCATTCTCATCTGAAAAGACTGGCATGGTTGGTAGGGAAATTGTTGCACAGAAGCAGCTTGTCCCTGAAGGGGCTAGGCAGAATTAGGGAGGTAGGAGAAAAGCAAGCTGGAAGCATGAAAATGCACATTGGAAAACCCAGTGACTTGAATTCAGAAACTGCAAAGGGAGCATTGGGCAGACGACAACTGTTTCCCTCATATTCTGGAAAGAAAACTGCTGCCATTTATGTTGGCATATCTACAAATTATCAACTGGTAGACCTGCATCTCTGTCTGGAGACAGGACAGGTGCTGGGGATGCTGTCTCTCTCCCAAGCACAGAGTGAAGGCTACATGATGAGGGTATTTGTTTTCAGGGATGCTTGTTTTACCTCCCCTCTGATGTGTCCCCTCAGACCTTTTGGCTGGAGGACTTACTGCTAACCAGGGATGTGCAGGGAGCCCTCAGCCTGTCTCTGCAGGAGGTGGCGGGGTCTTTCTGCGTGTGTTCAGCCATCAGTGGCAAATGCATGCAGCGCACCAGGGCTCAGGCAGGTGCAGGTGTTGGTAGGGGAGGTGTGGGATGGGGCAGAGCCCATGTTGAGAGGCATAGCAGAACAAGGGATCAGCCAGTGAAACATCTGTGTGTGTAGGCTGCGGTCTGGGGAGGGGGCTCAGGGCGAGTGTGGGAATTCATAGGATTAGAGGATTTTAGGAGAGCTGGGAAAAAGAAAGGCTTCAGAGACAGTAAGGAGCTGTTCTGAGTGCTGTGCATATGTGTGCCCTACCTAACCCCTGTTTCCTTCACATCTGCAGTCTGTGAGTCCTGCCAGGAGTACTTTGTGGATGAGTGTCCAAACCATGGCCCCCCGGTGTTCGTGTCTGACACCCCAGTGCCCGTTGGCATTCCAGACCGGGCAGCGCTGACCATCCCGCCTGGAATGGAGGTGGTTAAAGAGCCCAGTGGGGAGAACGATGTGCGCTGTATGAACGAGGTGATCCCCAAAGGTCACATCTTTGGGCCCTACGAGGGGCAGATCTCTAGCCAGGACAGGTCTGCAGGATTCTTCTCATGGCTGGTGAGTGACAAATTTCCACAACTAAGTGACACTTCAGCCGTGCAATTCAGAGCTGGGGGAGTCATGGGCTTGTGGAGCCAGACCTTAGCCATCTTCCCCCTTCTCTGAAGGTCTTCCACTGGCCACATGGGCACTACATCAGCATCGACCTGCCGTAAATATTGGCAGCTTAAGGGTATATAGATAGATGATCTAGAGATTGGAGAGTTCTCTCATGGGTCCCTAGCACTCAGCCTGCCTGAGCAGAGGAGGTGTCCAAGAAGCCAAAAAAGATCCAGTCCATCAGGAACTGATCTATATGCAGATTCGAGCACCAAAACTTTTTTTCCCCTCATACTACACAACTTGGTTAGCATATGAGATGGAGAGATCACTGGATCAACACATGTTAATTATGAGAATTGCTTTGTGGGACTTGAGTTATTATTGGGAAAAAATTGAGAGCTGCTGATGTGAAATGCTCCTCACACTTTTCTGTCTGTAGAATAAATGTGAGTCTCAGCCCTGTCCCAAAAAGGAAGTTAATATTTTTTATCCCAGGATTGTTAATGATGTTGTCAGCTGCATCCACAGTTACAGATATTTGTACATAGAAAAACAGCTCTCAGTTCAGAGTAGCCTCTATGCACTCCAGGTCAGCAGCCTGTAGTACCAGGAGAGCTGAGATTCACAGCATAGAGTTTCACGCCATGACTCAAAGCCAGAACTAGAGCAGTGATTTGAGATTCATAGACCTTCTCCTGCCTGGACCAGCTGGTTGACATGCTGCATCCATTCTCTTGCTCCACAGATCGTTGATAAGAACAACCGCTACAAATCCATTGATGGGACAGATGAAACCAAAGCAAACTGGATGAGGTGAGTCCAGTTCTCTTCTGCCTTCCCTTCTGGGACTCTGTCTTCCAGAGAGAGACCATCAAATACTCCTTGCTGTTTTGTAACCAAAATGTCACCACCGTTTTGCAAGTGGTGTACTTGTACTCTTTCAGTATTTATTGTAATTAGTATCTTTGGCATCAGATTCAAAGAAAGGGTCTAAAAAAAGACAAGAATGTGCATATGGAGGATCACTATTTTCTGGAATGTGAATAAATGTTAAAGATGATCTTATTTATCCACTCTTACAAGCACTGACAGGTCTCACTCCATTTTTTTACTCATTTTTTTATGTTATGTTCAAATATTTGCAAAATGCTTTGCATTGCCCCCGAGGTAACATTCGATTCTGTTTGTTTTTTTTTTTTTCCTGTCCTTACTCATTTGACAGATACTAAAAGAGATGCTTTTTTTTTTTTTCTTTTGCTTTCTTTCTGGGCTTAATTTGAAGCAGCTGTCCGTGCTGGCTGTGGGTTGGCAGTGTCAGCTGTCCTGTGCGAGGAGAAGGGCGAGCTGGGCGACTGAAGGCAGGGCTGAGGCGTGTGCTTGCGCTCCCTCTGCCGGCCCCGCGCCTCGGCAGCGCGGCTGGTCTGCTGCGGCCGCTGCAGCACGGAGGGACGTGTGCGTGTGCCCGTGGGGCAGTGTATCTGCGTTGGCATGTGTCTGCAAGACATCGGTCACTGAGGCCTCGTACGTGTGGCGAGTCACCAGAACGGGGCATTGCTGCACGGTGAGGCCCGTCAGACCAGTGCTGCTTCCGTGGGGAACTTTGGAAGTGGCTTTTATCAGGAAGGCATTTCCTACAAGAATAAGGCAGCGTGGGATTATCTGGTTTGTTGGCCTGGGTGTCTAGGATTTTCAGTTGTCCCTCGTTACTGGAATAAAAAGCATGAAGTACAGGTAAATGCAAGATTGGCCTAACTGGTCGCATCTGGTTGCACCACGTTTGGCCGTTTCAGTCTTCACATGGATAGCAGCTGTTCTGACATTTATGTTCATAAAGTTCAGCAAAGGATTTCATTTTTCTGTAAGGATTGCAGCTGCTACATTTGTTCACTGCTGGGTGAGATAAAATACTAGACTAGGGCTGAAGCTGGGATCATCACTTCAAAAAGAACCAGCGATACAGTGAAGAGATCAGGTAGGCAGACATATCTAGAAGTAAAGAATGCAAAGTTCAAAAATCTGCATAGATCTGGATCTTTGTGGTCTGCATGAAAGTGAAGCTGGGGTAAAACACAGTCTTGGAAAGCAAAAATTCTATGATGAGCTCTTCTTCCTACTGCCGTGAACATAAGCTTGATGTCTGGATTTAAATAGGCACTACTTGTGGTGCTAACACCACGAGCAGAATAGTCTTGCCTAAACTTGTATTTGCCATGGTTCAGTCTGAGTGTGGTCTGGGCCATTGTGTACAGCCTTGAAAGGCATGGAGGGCTATGGCTTTGTGGAAAGGAGATGTTTGTGACCTCTCATGGGAAGGGTGTATCAGGGGTCTCTGCAGGCTATACCAGTCTTACTGACCTTTCTGATTTTACTCTTGAAAAGTGCTTATAACCAGTAGTATTATGTAGAGTCTGACTGACAGCTCAAGTGGCAATAGGAGTCCTCAAAAAGCCTTGATTTTGTTTGTTAGCACCTTTTAGACTCAGGCGTGCTCAATATACTGTGCTAGAACATCACCTGACACTGAGATCACACACAGAAACCACACTTGACTTCCAGGACGCTGTACACAGCGCTCTTTTTGTTTTTCAGATGGTGCTCTTTGCTATCACTCACAGATGGAGTGCTTTGCAAAGCAGATCTACTCACCTTCTGGGTAGGTGGGTATGGCATGGGGAGGGCAGCTTGGGCTGACTCCTCTCTCTTCTTGTAGATCTGACTATTGTTTCTGTTGTTTGAATAGCGTACCTGAGTCCATTTTCATGTTGCCTGAGGACAGTATATACACTGCAGCGCTTGCTGGTTTAATTTCAAATGCCTGTTCACGCAAGGCAGTGGATGACAGGGAGGGAGGAGTAACAAGTGTAGCAGATGGTATGGCAGTGGTAATATCCTCTTGTCCTTTCTCTGATCAGTCAGTTAGTCAAGACAAACTCCTGATGCTGGGAGCACATTCTCCTAAGCTGGCTGCTGGCACACAGCTAATGCACCCTTCATCTCTGTCCAGAGTAAAGTCCTGCTGTTTGCAATACTTCATGAAACTCCATGACTTCAACATATGCAAACGTCTTCCTCTGTTTTTATTTTTCTGGTGGCTGTTTACCATGGATTGCAGCAAGCAAAATTATTGCTTTCTTGGACACAAACCATAAATTGCTGCTGATGGCAGTTCTTGGGGCTTCTGAAGGGTTGCAGAGGACCATCCATTTTCCTGGCAGCTTCTGAGGAAATTCTCTTACTCAGTTGTTGGTGTTCTGTAAAAATAATGGATCTGACAAAAAAACCAGAAGTAATTCAGAAAGTCCAGGAAAGTTCATTGTTCTGTGTATGCATCACTTGGCCCAGAACGAGATACAGGGTAGAAACTGGCAGTGCCTAACTAACTGTTGAAGTGTAGTGCCTCATGTTTGGGGTTTCTAGGATATTTTGAGCATTTATAGTCTGTAACCCTTCTTACATGTGAGTTCCTGAATTCTTAGGCTTTTGGCACAGTATAAATTCATCCTTTGCCTTAGCTAATGAAAAGGCTGAAGCAAGACTTTCTCACTGCTTTCTCCTTAGCTTTCCTTTCTGCCCCCTTTCCTCTCCAAACATAGTGGCAGAGATCATGGGGAGCCAGACTGTCCTGTAAATCTTCCTGTATCTCCTTATAGTGGGGGCATCTCTGATTTGACTTTTCATACAGTAATAGAGCTTGGAAGGGAGCTCTGGTCAGGTGTTCCAATAGCCTGCTTAAAGCAGGACCAACTTTGACTAGTGGATCTTTTACGTATGGAGCTGCTATTTCAACTTTACAGAACCTTTTAAAAATAAGCATTTAGAAAACGGGCAGGGTTACTGTGACTGCCCTTGTGTTCAGGGTGAGTAAAATCCACCAGTCTATGAATGTCATTCTGTTGAATGTCATAAACTGATTTCTGCTACCTTGTGGCACAAATGTTCTTATCTATTACAGAGTCAAATTTACACAGAGACCCACACACCCAAAAAAAAAAAAAAAACCCCCCCCCCCCCCCCCCAAATTACTGTGGGGCTGTGATCCTCACAGAGCCCTGGGAAAAATTACATGCTTGTTTCTTGGAGGCCAGGAAAAGTGAAGTTGATTGATATTTTTTTGGGGTAATCATTAAGTGCCTACTGTTCAGTGTGCCTTGCACTTTCAGATTAACCTGGGCTGAGGTGTGAGTTCACAACCTCACAGCTGGGGCTGCTCTGGAGCTTGCTGAAACCCTCATGGCACCACCAGAGAGGTACTTGTAGATGTCAGTGACTGCCTCTAGGGACATAAGGCATGCTAGAGGAGAAAAGGATCCCTCTGATGGTAACACTGTCTGCATTTTTATAAGGAGGAGGTTGATGTGCCTCTTAGGAACCTTGGGTTAATTGAATTTGTGATTAAAACTGGCCAGAGCTCATTACTCGATGTGTGGCAAGTTTGCTATTGGAATATGTAAATTAGATTGTTTTGTCTACGTCCTGCTGGAGGATATGAGTGGAAACACTAAAATCTGAATATCCAGGCCTACCATAAGCTGTCCTAAGTGCACTTGATGGGATATCCTGTCTGGGAAGAGCAAATAGGGGTCTAATTCTCCATCGGTGCAGCTTTGCTGATGACAGCAGCCGTCAGTTTGGCAGAGAAGAGGGGGCACCAGGTTTTGTGACCCCTGTCTCCAGAGAGCCCTGTTACGTTCTGCAGGCTCACCCCTACCCAGAGCACTTAGGAGAATACTGTTACTCTTTTCACCAGAGCAGCTTGTCTGTGGAGGTGTGTTGCCACCTCATGAAGGCACTGTGCAGTCATGTGTGCCTGATGAGGACTTACACCAAGCCCAGTTTTGCTGAATGCAATAAAAGCCAAACTGTAAATATTCCCTTGCTCAATGTTTTGTGTAGCCTTTTCCCTTCTGCTCATGTTCAGCTGGGAGAACTCCTTTTTCCTTTTAAGTTTGGTGAGTTTTTTTGTTGGGGTTTTTTGAGATTCAGGGTTACAGGTGCTTTGCTGGCTCTCCATCATTTCATTACCATCTTCTCTAAATGCTACTTCTTTCTCTCTGTAAATAAAGCTCCAGCAAGATAGGATCTCAAGCATTCTTTTATGTTTGTTCCCATGAAATGCATCTGTGCACTTAGGTCCCAGCTCTCCCTGATGTGGCGTGTATTTGAGCAGCATCTCCTACTGGTTTTCCAGCATTAACCAAACTGACACTTGTCCTGATGGCACGCTGCAGTGGCAGTGAGATTGATTAAACAACCATGTTAACAACACTAGGAAGGAACTAGAATGACATGAGTCAGCACCTTTCTGTAGATTCAGACAGTCTGTTTTCTCTTTCCTTATTGAACAGATCTACTGCCTTGTTTTTTTCCCAATAGCAAAACATAGTTAGGACTAATGTTTTGTTTATTTTTATAATTTTCTTTGATTGTGACTGGAGAAATTAACACAAACCCCCTTTGGACAAAACTGTTTGTTCTCAAGATAGCTGCCTCTTTTTCTCAATGGGCTGAGGCTACAAGTTGTTCATCTGAAGCACCAGAAACTGGGTGCAGGCTTATGTCAGTGGCAGTGATGGAAAGCCTAGCCAGGAAAATCAAGTGGGTGGCCTCATTCCTTTTGAGAACAATGGGAAATGGCAGCCATTTCTGGGTGAAACAAGAGCTTGCTGTGAAGCAGACAAATGCTGGGTGTAGAGTACCCCAATACTGAAAAAACAGATCTTTCCTTAGGGAAAGCAAGTTGCAGAAATTGCCCACCAGTCTAGTCAAAACCTACCTACCCAAAAAAAAATCCAATTTAGTGGAGCCTTTTCATG